ACTCTTTTACAGTGTTGTGGAGCACAGTCATACTCCAAACTCCACTATGGCCAAGATCAAAGAGCTGTCAAAGGACACCAGAAACAAAATTGTAGACCTGCACCAGGTTTGGAAGACTGAATCTGCTATAGGTAAGCAGCTTGGTGTGAAGCAATCAACTGTGGGAGCAAATATTAGAAAATGAAAGATATACAAGACCACTGATAATCTCCCTCGATCTGGCGCTCTACACACGATCACGTGGGGTCAAAATGATCACAAAAACATTGAGCAAAAATCCCAGGACCACACGGGGGGACCTAGTGAATGACCTGCAGCGAGCTGGGACCAAAGTAACAAAGGCTACCATCAGTAACACACTACGCCGCCAGGGACTCAAATCCTGCAGTGCCAGACGTGTCCAGGCCCGTCTGAAGTTTACTAGAGAGCATTTGGATGATCCAGAAGACAATTGGGAGAACATGGTCAACCAAAATAGAAGTTTTTGGTAAAAACTCAAGTTTTCCCATAGATAAATCTGCCCAGCAACAGCCCCAAAACATTGTTGCTCTAGAGGAGATCTGCATGGAGGAATGGGCCAAAATACCAGCAACAGTGTGTGAAAACCTTGTGAAGACTTAGAGAAAACGTTTGACCTCTGTCATTGCCAACAAAAGTATTGAGATGAACTTTTGTTACTGGCCCAATACTTATTTACACCATAATTTGCAAATAAATTCTTTAAAATGTGATTCTCTGGATTTTTTTCTTTGCTCATTTTGTCTCTCATAGTTGAGGTATACCTGTGATGAAAATTACAGGCCTCTTTCATCTTTTTAAGTGGGAGAACTTGCACAATTTGCGGCCGACTAAATAATTGTTTGCCCCACTGTAAGTGTGACCAATATACACGAAAATAGAAACTCAGGAAGGGGAAAAACACTTTTTCAAACCACTGTGATTCCTCATGTTTTAAATTGGATATTAGATCTGTACACGTTACTTTTTTTTAAATTGTGAAGCATGTTGAAAAACAAACTAAGGCAGACTAGCTGTGTTATTTAAAGACTGCTTGAAAATAATCAGCAGTTTGGTGCATGACAAACAAGTGTCCTGTACTGTGATAGATTTACAGTCTTTTGGCCTGGTGCAGAGTGGTTGTGGTTTCATGGTTTGGTTACATTAAGTGTAGCAGAGATGAATTTGAAGTTAAACTGATGATGCTTACATTCATTCACTGAATCCCACCATTTAACTACAGCATAAGCAGTCAGTGTGTAGAGGATGGAAATAGGCTAGGACGACTCATGAAACATCTGCTTACATCTTTTTTAATTCAGCTGTGTACATCTACACAGAGCAGCAGTAGCCCAGATCAGCCGATCACAGCCTATCAAAAATCTACTGGAGTTCTCAATAGAAAGTTTTTGTGAGTTGTGATTCTTTTCCCTACACTCAGCCATTACAGACAATTTTAGGGTTCCCACACATGCTCAATTCAATTTTAACCCTTTCTGGACTCATTTTCCTGTTTAGAGGAAAAGTCAACCTTCTACAATGTAGGCAACAGAAAACAGAGCTTTTTTTTTAATCCTTCTTTTTCTTTGCTCATGTTTTGCTTACCTAATTCAAGCTGAATACCTATATTAGAATGAAAATTTAGACTAAAATTTTGTTTCCCATCTACAAGGTAACTTTGCACAAAAATCACTAGTAGAAACAAAGAGCTGCTTTTTACTTACTTTGAGTACATTTTTGAACCTGTACTTTTTCACTTGAACCAGTACTTCAGCTTTTGCTCAAGTATTTTTAATACTTGTATATGTACTGAACACCTGGTCAGAGGTGTTCTTTTGCCACCTTTGACCAGTCTACTGTGGTGAAAAGAAAGCTGAACAAGGCTATCGATCAATATCTGTCATTGATTTACGTCTTATAGTAATAGGGTGAGGAGCCTCGTCATTTGGAAGGGACTCAGAGCAGAGTTGCAACTCCTACACATCAAAATAGCCTGTTGAATTGGTTCAAGCATATTTGGGTCCGTTTTGGACACCACATAGATGAGGTGCTTTGGGCATGAGGGGACACACAAGTACACACTGGAGAGATTATGTTTTTGGGCTGGCTTGGGAGTGTCTTGACGTCTCTGTTATGACTTTAAATTTAGTGAAAAAATAATATGAATAAAATCAGTGAGTGTACATTTACAAAGAGTGTATTTTTTTAAATGATTAACAACTGTTTTTTTCTGCTTCCTGCTTCAGATTGCTGGTGGCCAGGTTGATGGCTGATGGAACCCCACTGGTGATTTATGCTGCAAGAGTCATCCAGCAATCCTACTGCAGAGTGAGATACTGCAGATGCTTCAGGACAAGGAAAAGTTGGAGTTGTTGCTGATGGAGGATTCTGACACTTGCACCAAGAGGGCTGCTCTGCAGTCGCTTCAAGGTTTAGATGTGGAGGCTTTGCAGTTAGCGGTGATGGGAAGATGTATTATATGTACTATAACATGGAGTCTTTTCATTCACATTCATTAAGATAATAAATCTGAGGCCATCAATCCAAAATGTTACATATCTGTTCTTTGCTTAAACAGGAAATAGACCTAATAATAGACCTATAAGAGCTCATAGGTGCTATATATAGGTTATAATATATAGGTTTATGCTTAGATTATTTCCTTGCAGATACTTAAACTGAATCACATTTTGTTGAAACTGTTTCAACAAAATGCTAGTGCTAACCACGGCGGCACGGTGGTTAGCACTGTTGCCGCACAGCAAGAAGGTCCTGAGTTCAATTCCACCATCAGGTCTTTCTGTGTGGAGTTTGCATGTTCTCCCCGTGTTTGTGTGGGTTCCCTCCGGGTACTCCGGCTTCCTCCCACCGTCCAAAGACATGCAGCTTGTGGGGATAGGTTAATTGGATAATCCAAATTGCCACTAGTGTGCGAATGGTTGTCTGTCCCTGTGTGTTGGCCCTGCGACAGACTGCCGACCTGTCCAGGGTGTACCCCGCCTCGCGCCCTATCTCGCCCAGCTGGGATAGGCTCCAGCGCCCCCCGCGATCCTGAAAAGGATAAGCGGAAGCAAATGGATGGATGGATGTTTAAACTACACATTATCTAAAGTTTAAATAAAGAGTCTTTTTTTGTCTTAATTTACCAGTCCATCTTAATTGTATCAATTGTATTAATTGAACAATCTGACTTCTTTATTTATTTTTTTGAAGAATTAAAATGAATAAATAAACTGATCAGCTCATACTAAACTGCTCTATTTTCTTTTGGCTGAGATATAATGTTTATCTGTTCCAACTCCAAACAAAATTAAGTAAATCACTGAGATTCTATTTATATTATTGTATCTGCTTTCATCTCTCATGCACTTGTTAGATACTGGAAACTTTTTGACTATTCAAACACTTGCGCACTTTAGCTCCCCCTTGTGGTTTTACACAAATTTAAAATACAATATTATCAGGACCTTGGTCTTTCAAAAAAGGTTAACTTGGATTTTGGATTCTGTGAAACCATCACTTTGCATTGATTAGACTGTTTATGTGCCTACTATATGAGAAGCTCAAAAGAAAATATCAGTGCCGTATACCTGCAAAACTGTGGTTCGGGGAAATTTAGCAGCTATTATTATATGTTAGTTTGAGCTAAACTCCTGAGAGTGTGTATTCACGTAGTACCAGATACTGATCCTAAAAAATTGTGGGTTTTTAGGTTTGTTTATTTGCCATCCTTAAGTGATGACAGTAGGGGCAAGAAATTATCTGTATTTTTTGTCTACTAAGAAGCACATCTCTGCACTGAAATGTTTTGTCTTTGTCAAATTTGAAGTGGTGTTTGCCCTGCATCAGGCTGGTCAACGCCCCCCCTCCGCGCGACCCTGATAACGATAAGCAGAAGAGGGTGGATGGAGATGAAATGTCCACTGTGTGTTTAAATCAAGTGTGAAAAAAACAAAAAAACAAAACACGTACATATCATGCGTGCACATTAGTCCTGCTTCGTGTGGACACTGTGATATGCAGTTTCCTGATGTTCCAAATCACATTTCCCACACAGCTGCTGCAAAAACCAAAGATGTTGTCCCTTTTCAGCTTTAGAAAGTACAACCAATGAGTGATGTATTGATTTGAGGCAGTTCAAGTATTTATTTGAAAATCACCACAGCCATTTAACTTTAAATAGTAGCCTTTGTCAGTCAATTATCACTTACCATTTCATTGATCTGTTATAAATAATACAAAAGCTGGATATGTTTTGTGATTTCCCATTTTGACCCCTCAAGCTGAGCATCATGTCTGCTGACATCAGTTATAGTTTCAACACCATGGGCATGGGCTTCCTTGTTTCCCTCTCCAGAGGACTATAATTCAGAAACGGAACATTGTGCCAAAGTAAATACCTCTGAAACTGATTAAGGTATCAAACTCATCAGCAAAGCATTTACTGAAGTTAGAAATCATGAGCTTCACGGTACTTCTCTCATAGATTTACACACACACATACATCGAGAGAAAAACATGCTCAGGATAAGACTTAAGAATAAGTATTTTTCCTCTTCCGTGGACAGGATGCTGGATGACCCAAATCACTGTGGTTTAGCAACAGGAACTTTGCGTTTTGCCCAGCTTAAGGCTATCTCCCGTGATCTTGCAAGAAGTAGGTTAAAGTAACAGGAGAAATGAAAGAAATGAAACCTAACCGAACTCACTTAATTGCTGATTTAGGAAAAAATAATTTAAGTGAAGAATTGTAATGCCGCTAGGATAGGCTCCAAACCCCCTTATGCAAAAACCTGAAAAGGATAAGCGGAAGAGGATGGATGGATGGACTCTATAGTGCACACTGCACAGTCAATTAACCGCGAGTTAAAGAAAGTATCACTTTAAGAAGAAGCTGCCTCCTCTCTGTATGTTTGAATAAACAATGCGACAACAGATGCCAAGAAACGAAACTTATAGCAAACTCTTTTCCGGGTTAAACCAACAATTTTGATAGAGCAGGTTACAGTTCACACTGTCATTTTTACCTTTTCTACAAAATCATTTTTCAGGAGACAAACATTAGCTACCATGAACTCTTTGAACCAGCAGTATGAGGAAAAGGTCCGTCCCTGCATTGACCTCATTGATAAACTCCGCTCTCTTGGTGTAGAGAAGGACCTGGCGCTGCCTGCTATCGCCGTGATAGGGGACCAAAGCTCGGGAAAGAGCTCTGTGTTGGAGGCGCTGTCCGGGGTGGCACTGCCGAGAGGAGTTGGTAAGAAGACACTTATTTCCAGCTCAGCAAACTCACTGTTCATTAGACTCGTGACAGTCCAGTATATAAGTAATCCTTTCATACCTTACTTAAATAATATACCAAGGGCGTAGATTTGGCATGGACGGAAGGGACATGTCCCCACCAATATCCAGCGGTTATTGAATTGTCCCCACCAATAATTTGATCTCTTTGAGTAAAGAAAAACAAAACCGATAGAAAAAAAAACGATCTGTCAATGTCTCATTCACCCAGCGGTGCAGAAAGAGTTAAATTACGTTCTCTGCTGGAGTCCTGTGGAACATAGGACTGCCATAATGAATTAATTAAATACACCATTAAATAATTAATTAAATGTGTCAATAATGAATTAAAATTGGAATTAATTAATTAAATAAATAGGTATGACACATGTAATTAATTAATTATTGACACATTTAAATAATTATTTATGTATTTCACATTTTTATTAATTATTGACACATTTAATTAATTATTTAATGATATATTTAATTATTTATGTATTTCACATTTTAATTAATTATTGACACATTTCATTAATTATTTAATGATATATTTAATTATTTATGTATTTCACATTTTAATTAATTATTGACACATTTCATTAATTATTTAATGATATATTTATTTATTTATGTATTTCACATTTTAATTAATTATTGACACATTTCATTAATTATTTAATGATATATTTAATTATTTATGTATTTCACATTTTAATTAATTATTGACACATTTCATTAATTATTTAATGATATATTTAATTATTTATGTATTTCACATTTTAATTAATTATTGACACATTTCATTAATTATTTAATGATATATTTAATTATTTATGTATTTCACATTTTAATTAATTATTGACACATTTCATTAATTATTTAATGATATATTTAATTATTTATGTATTTCACATTTTAATTAATTATTGACACATTTCATTAATTATTTAATGATATATTTAATTATTTATGTATTTCACATTTTAATTAATTATTGACACATTTCATTAATTATTTAATGATATATTTAATTATTTATGTATTTCACATTTTAATTAATTATTGACACATTTCATTAATTATTTAATGATATATTTATTTATTTCATTTTGGCGCCTGGCTCTCATCTTGAATTAATTTTATCTGTCAGCCTCACCCATCAAACCCAGGGGGCGGGGTTAACGCTGCCCATGCAGCTTCTCTAACATTTCATTGGTTGCCGTGCAAAGTAAGTCAAAACAGGTCGATCCTAGATAATCGATTGCTTGTGTAGACTTGGGGCAGCCAGGTATCCCAGAATGCAGATCAAATCACAGGCAGCAATGGTGGTGCTGTAGTTTTAAAATACCCCGTTTTTCTGTCACCAACTACACTTTTAACAGTGTTTTAGCCGCGAATGTCGCACCGTAATCTTCACATGTCTGGTCAGGTTGTCAACATAGAACATGTTTGCAAAAGTGCTCAGATGTTTTCAGAGATTTCACTAGCTCTGCTAACAGTCAGCATGCAGAGTGCACCCAGGGGGTTACGTTAACCGGTTTGTTTACATATTCCACTCTCCGTGTTCCACATGTTGCATTCACAGATTCTCATTTTGACCGAACGATCGTCTCTTTCCGCCTGGTCTTGTGTCTCTGTGCTTCTGTAACATAAAGAACGAGCTGACATTTTTCTCACGAAACCAGCGATCTGGGGCCTGTTCTTCGTACGTTGCTTACTACATCCAAGATCAAATGACACATCCAAGACCAAACCATCGCGCTAACCGTGAGCTCGCTAATCCGGTTCCCCGACAACCCGGAATATCGCTGTTGCTTTCGTATGAATGACGCGGGCATACCTGCGTGGCCGCGATCTAATCCTGTTTACATAAAGTAAACCTGCTCCCCAGCAGGTTTACGCTTACGGCTCTGTTGCTATGACAGCAAGTCCCGGATGGGCTTCGGGGAACCGAACGATCCAGGATCACGCAAAATCGTCAACAATCTAATCCAGCTAACTTACTTAGCGAGGTACGAAGAACAGGCCACAGCTCAACAGACCCTCAGTTTACCTGCATGCATCCTCCTCCTCACCTGTCAGCTGTTTAACACCTGCTGCTAATTCAAGAAACACGCCTACGTTACCTGGTGATAGTCACAGTTTAACTGGGCAGCCGGTACTCGATATAAAGCAATGTCAGCGCATTTTTCTGCACAAGATAAGGAAATATAGTATTTTTCCCGAGCGCAGAGCTGCTGGAGCTTGTTTCCTTACAGAGCACTTTATAGGCGAACAGCTTCATCAGCGGCTGATGTCCAATCACCAGCACACAGCTTTGAAACCTCAGCTGAGTTTTAGCTCTCAGTGGTTAAACGCTGGACTTCATTCACTCAGGTTCTGTCTGTCGGGTCACGTTTACTTCGCTGTTTTATTTACAACTGAGCAAATCGGTTTGGCTGAGGTTAAAGTTACGTTTCATAACTGCATAGTTTTACAGACCTTTAATGGTTCACTGGCACATGTGTTAGACTGAACTATTCGCTTTTCTTTATCTGGTGTGTTTTGGATTTAACAGTGAATTTTGAGATTAAACTGACTTTTAAAATGTTTTATACAAAGAGGAAAGAGAAGGCGCATTTCCACCGAGAGAAGCAGAATTTGCAACAGCATGTTCATCATGAAGTCTGCAACCTGGACAGAAATATTATATCATCTATTTTTTAATAGTTATTCAACTGTATTCTAAGCACCAGCTATCTGTTAGAATTTTTAGAGTTTACTTAACTAAAAATAAATGAGGTTAACATATAATTTGTGTGATTTTTTTTCTCTCTCTCTCTTTTCTTTTTTCTTTTCTTTTTTTTTTTGTGCTTTTTCGGTCATGTTATGTTTAACTGTCAAAGTTTTGTTACAAACTATGAAACACATCGTGCAGACTTCTGGATGTTAGAAGAAAACTAATACTGCTCATGAATGAGACTAAAGGCAGGAAAGTGTCCTTTAAAACTAAACATGTTAGTAGGACCTCCCTATTTATATCATAGTTTATGATATAGCACGTGCATTTCAGTAATAGCCTACTGATTTCAGTGTAGTGGTGTCACACAACAGTCACACAGCTCACATGGTCATTATCTGTGATACTCCTTAACTATAATTTATCTAAGTTAACTTCAGTTAACCATTCAGACGGTTCTTTTGCAATGAAAAAGCTGTGTACCGGGGCCTGCGCTTTGTCGGTGGTAATAACAGCTTGCGAGGCGAGCGGGTCTATCCCAGGCTTTGCCGTGAGACTGGGCATCGAAGCACTTTTGCAAAGAGGCTGTATCTTGACAAACCGACCAGACATATGAAGATTAAACCACTACATTCTCGGCTAAAAAAATATTAAAACTGTATTTGGTGACACACAAACAGGGTTTTTCAAAGTTCAGTTCTGTTAGTTTCCACATGCCGGTTGTTGTGTGCTAAAAACAATGGCCACCAGGCCAAAGCAATGGTTTTGACTCGATCAGCGTTAACCCCGACCCCTGGGTTTGATGGGTGAGGCTGACAGATAAAATTAATTCAAGATGAGAGCCAGGCGCCAGGACTGCCAAAGTGAAATAAATAAATATATCATTAAATAATTAATGAAATGTGTCAATAATTAATTAAAATGTGAAATACATAAATAATTAATTAAATGTGTCAATAATTAATTAATTACATGTGTCATTACTATTTATTTAATTAATTAATTCCAATTTTAATTAATTATTGCCACATTTAATTAATTATTTAATGGTGTATTTAATTAATTCATTATGCGAGGGGGAGAGGAGGATGGCAGCAAAAATAACCTGGATATAAGAAAGTATTTTTCAAAGAAACCTGTAAGTCACTTAAAGTCAAGTTCACTCATAAAATCTGTCCATCATAATAACGTTACAGGCTATGCAAGGCAATACATGCCAACCCTCCCGTTTTTTCTCGGACAATCCCGAATTTCAGTGCCCCTCTTATTACTCTTTCTGGGTTGCAAAATAAACTTTTAAAAACATTTCAGGCGAGAATGTAGCTGTGCAAACTTCAAATATCTGAACCGGGGAGAACAGCAAACTCCCAGCACATCGTTTTAGGCTTTGGCCCACATCAGTCTAAAATTGTATGTAACCATGAATAACGTGTTGCCATGTCCACCAGGAGAGACTGGACCGTATAGATGTAAAACAAATATGCCGGCAGTTTATCTCAGTTAACGAGAGGAGCAGGCCTGTGTTTGGCTCCTTCACATACTGGACATTAAGTTATTGTGTGGGACACCAGTAGTCCATGTCTGTTGCTGTAACAGTAGTTCATGTTTAGAGTAAAACATCCCAGCTCACTGATTTGATCGGGGCAATAGTGCCTAAAATGTTGCATAATTTTGCTGAGAGATCTGTTACTTTGTGGTAATCTTAGATGAGTAGTTTTATGGACAAACCCCACCAGGTCATTCAGTGTTCCCTTAGTGCTAATGTATAACAGATGTTGGTGTACTATAACTGAAGTAATGTTGTTAAGTCCTTAAAGTCATATTATTTTATTGTCATGACTGTATTTTAAGCTATTTTTATTTTTGTATGATATCTGATTTATATGAAATATGGCTGAAGTAAACTAAAGCCTAAAATACTTAGTCAGTCATTTGTTTAATAGTAACTTAACATTATATAATTCACATATAAAACTATAAATTGTAATTTTAAATGGTTTAAAAGCATGTAGAATAGCATATGTATAAGTATATTTCTCCTTTTTTTTAATCAAGAAGCAAAGACAAAAAGGAAAAAAAAAGAAACAGGGCAGGGTTCGGTGGCTGAATCATCCGTCCCCACCAATGCCAAAACCAAATCTACGCCCTTGTAATATACACTACTGGTCAAATGTTTTAGAACACCCTAATTTTTCCAGTTATTTTTTGCAATACAAGTCGTTCAAGTCCGATGAATAGCTTGAAATGGCACAAAGGTTAGAAAGGCCAGAGGTTAAAAAAGTTAATGTTTCCCAAAAATGAAAAAGAAAAAAAGTACATTTCAGAATTATATGTTACTCTGCCGAAACGGTGGGCCAACTCATCTCCCGTGCAACATATTTATTGGCCTTACCAAAAGAAAGTGTCTTTGAGTATAAAATAAAATGGGGGGCGGCTATTTTCATGTCTTTATCTTTATCATTGTGCCACATATACAAAAAGGCCTTTTTCAGGGAACACAAAATGGGTTAACAATTTAAAGATGTTCTGCAGCAATGGAAGTCGATCAAGCCTTGAAAGCTGGTGCTACTAATTCCTACAGGTGTTCCATCTTTTCTGGATTACTTACAATCCCCTCTGTCTGCATAAGGGCAGTGTTGGAACACACTGTGGTACCATACTGTTATAGCCCGTCTCGGGGTGGCCAGACCATAAGGGTGATCCATCCCCGTCTGACCCCAAGCAGCACATCACACAATTAGTACAGTTTGATGGTGATTTATTTACAATGAGTGGATTTAAAACAAAGGAAAGGAGCGGACTATAACTTTGGGGTGGACCTAACGAAAAAACAACAAACAAAAGGAGCCTATCTCAAGGATATATCAAACTTGCCTACTCAAAAGAATTAAACCAAACGACAGGAACTTACCTCCCCAACTAACAAAAACATGAGAAAACTGTAATCAAAGAAAAGGGCAGTCCACCCCTACATGCCCCTGTGTAAAACAAACATCACTAGACAGGTAACATAAAGTCTGCCAGTTAGGATGGGCCGAGGATGAAAGGCTCGCCGTCCATGGCGGTGTCATCAAATACGTTGTCTCCCGGTAGTTAGCCAATCCGCAGGAACTGTCCCCTGGATCCACCAATGACGAGAAGGCACCTACACACTTAAATTTGCATATGAGAAACAACATTACGACAGCAGTCGTTAACACATACCCTCGTGAGCATCAGTTGAACAGTATTGTACTGCAGAGAGTTTATTGTTACAAAAAAAGGTAATTAATAATGGAAGAGAGACAGGCCATCAGTTAAAAATGCACAGAGAAATTGCAAAGAAAGTCAAGGCGTCAGTGACTAGAGTTACCTTCACCATCAAAAGGCACTCAGAAACTGAAAGGATGAGGTCTGGCTCACCCAGCGCACAACTGAATCAGAGGATTTTGGTTTAGCTGTTATATCTGCCAAAGGTGGCGAGTCAAAAGTTTAGAATACGTTTTAGTCTATAAATTGATTCCATTATTTCTTTTTTTTTAACTGAAGTTGCTTATTTGTAAGATGCTTTCATTTCAGGGTGCAATGAGACATTAAACTGCATCATTTTCAATAAAAACTGGAAAAATTGGGGTGTTCTAAAACTTTTGACCGGTAGTGTATATACATTTGAAATCCCTTACCTTTGTTTAATTGGCGTTATTTCTCTGTTCAAATTCAACTTGTAACAACTTGTTCAAATCAAATCCTTACAGTACTACCTGACCACTGGTCTTATCCTGGCATGGGCTCTGACGTGGTTCTATAGAAGTGCGTTTGAATATATTTGGATAAGCCGAGACAAATGTCGGGCTGGCTGGATAAATTTCAGTTTCTGTTTCTGTTTTCTTAGTTTCTGTTTTCATTCTTGTTGCTTTGAGTCTTGGTCTATTTGAGTTTCTGTTTCTGGGACCTTCACTGTTTCCCTCTCTGTCTTGTTTCATTTTGGTTCCTTTGCCCTCCCTTGTTTCCTTTTCTTTCTCATCTTGTTTATTGAATAATTTCCTCTGTTTATTTTCCAGTTACAGTGTATCTGCAAAGTATTCACAGCACTTCACTTGTTCCACATTTTTGTCATGTTCACTCTTATTCACCTTAGTCTGCACACAACACCCCATAATAACAAAGAAAGAAAAGTTTGCTTGAGATTCAATTTCTACAGACCTCCAAACATGGCCTTCAGATTAGCTCAAGAACAGAAAGTGAAAGTTTCATGGAATGGGTTTAGCTGGCTGAGCAGCTACATGCAAACCTCACATCATCAAGCATAATGTAAAGAGTCAGATGCATGGGTATAAACCACTGGACTCTGGAGTAGTGGAGACGTGTTCTCTTCAGGAAGAATGGTCAAAAATCCCCGTAAATCCAATCTTAAACCTTGTGGAAAGCCTTCCCAGAAGAGTTGAAGCAGCAAAGGGTGGGCCAACATCATGTTTAACCCTATGGATTAAGAATTAGATATTCCTGCAGACACATAAGAAAATGTGTTTGGCAATATAGTATAATGACTGCTTTTTTATGATCTTATCAAATACTCTGGGTATTCACTCAAATCTTTTCCTCTCTGTCTCACCATTCACTCATAAAAAACACAGGTATTGTGACAAGATGTCCACTAGAACTGAAGATGACAAGAAAGAAGAAAGGAGAGGCGTGGTATGGAAAGATAAGCTACCGTGACTATAATGAAGAGCTAAAAAAGCCTTCACTTGTGGAGAAAAAGATTCGGGAAGGTACAGCGTGAAGTATTCTTAAATGTCACTGTTATTGATGGAGGCAGAAGATAGGCCAGCTAAACTTATTGTTCAGGTGTGACTCAAACCAAATCCTCTTTTCAGCACAAGATAAACTGGTGGGGAATGGGACTGGGATCAGCAATGACCTCATCAGTCTGGAGATTGCTTCCCCTGATGTCCCAGATCTGACACTCATCGACCTGCCTGGCATCACCAGAGTGGCTGTCAGTGGACAATCAGAGGACATTGGTGAACAGGTAGCATTTGGTGGTAGAATGCATCAAGTCAGATTAAAATACAGCTCAATTCATCCCTGTCACATGTTTGCTCTTTTACTTTTGATTTTTAGAAAAGCAAGAAAGACCCCATCATAAATATATGCATGATTGCTATCAGTACAGCCCACAGAACACTATCCAAACCACAGCTCAATAATATAATCATATGATATATTTCTCTTGTGAAAAAATGAAAAGTATGGCTGTGATCTTTTATGGGTATTACATTCATTCACAACTTGATTTGAACAATCCTAATTTGGGCACGATTAGTTTGTATAACTTTTTGCAACTATATTTTTCCATTTCGTAGCTTAATATTTGTTACGTTACAAGCTAATACTTTCAGATAAAACGACTGATCCAGAATAACATCAGAAAACAAGAAACCATCAGCTTGGTGGTTGTTCCATGCAACGTGGATATTGCAACCACAGAGGCTTTGAGGATGGCACAGCAGGTGGATCCTGAAGGAGAGAGGACTTTGGGTAACTAGAACTGATTTTAAAAAGTGGCACCTGGCTTATAAGCAAATGTCTCTCTTAGGTCATTGATTCTCTATCCACTGAATAAATATAGTTGCTATGTATGCTTACTGCATACATTTATCATGTTGGTTCTGTTTTCACTGGTGAGGAAACTGTTGAATCTCATTTAATCTTTTTATTAGTTTGTCACAATGTGAGCAATATTTAATGGCTGGCACCAAGCTCTGACTGGAGCTCATTAATGATTATTATCATCATCATTATCCAGCTGCTTTTCTCATAAGGTGGGGAATCCAACACTATATCTCTCTGTCAGGTATCTTGACTAAACCTGACCTGGTGGACAAAGGCACAGAAGAGAACGTGGTTAAAATTGTCCATAATGAAGTCATCCCGCTGAAGAAGGGCTACATGGTGGTCAAATGCAGGGGTCAGAAGGAGATCACAGAGAAGGTTTCACTTTCTGAAGCACTAAAAAATGAGGAAGCCTTCTTCGAAGAGCATGCCCATTTCCAGTAAGTTTGCTCTTTTTGGAAATTATGCAAACAAGTGTTTGTGGTGTGTTAGGCTGTGTTGCTTATACTCTAACCTTTTGTTTGTGCTGTAGGACTCTCTTTGATGAGGGTCAGGCCACTGTTCCTAAACTGGCAGAAAAACTCACTCTTGAACTGGTGCATCATATTCAGGTAAGTACTTATTACTGTTTTACCTTTGTAGGTCACTGGGGAGAGCTTTAACCCACTCCAGCTTTGATGTGATTTGTCCATGTGATTTGTAGAAATCTCTGCCACGGCTTGATGAGCAGATACAAAAGAAACTTAAACAAACTCGAGCAAACCTGGACAAATTAAGCAATGGACCCCCATCTGATGCAATTGAGAGACTTGGTTTCCTCATTGATGTAAGTTCACCAGTTTTTTTAGGAGACAAAAAATTGCCAGCTGCAGGTTTTGCACCTCCTAAACAAAAGTGTAAGAAAAATGAATATGAGCTTCTGGAAACAACATTTCCTGTTCTTTGAAACCGTTCCTTCTTAGAGAGTGTCAGCATTCACACAGGATGCTATCAGTCTCACCAAAGGTGAAGAATTAAAATGTGGATACAAGTCCAGCATCTTTTCCTTACTGAGAGGTCAGTTTGCAGTATGGAGGGAAGCCATAGAGACCTCTGGAACAAATTGTAAGTGAATTTAAAACTTGTTAATTAGTTACCTCTAATATACCTACTGTTAAAAGATGAAATTATTAATTATTAATACTATTTTCCCACCACAACTACAACCATATTATAGTCAACTGGAATATTCAGAGAGAGGTTTCTCAATATGAACGAAAGTACCGTGGAAGAGAGCTCCCAGGGTTTATCAACTACAAGACGTTTGAGGCCATGATCCAGGAGCAGATCAAACAGCTGGAGGAGCCTGCTGTCCAGAAACTCAAAGATGTGTCAGGCATGTTTTTTATGATACCGCAATCATTGAAAGTGATCACAGAACATGTTACTTTGCAGGTATTCTTTCATTTTCTAATTTTTTATATAATTTTCTCTTTTTAGAGCTTGTGAAGAAGGAGCTCTTTGAGTTGGCACAGAGCAGCCTGGTTGGCTTTCCTAACCTCATCAGAACAGCAATGGTAACATCTCCTTTGCTGCTTGTTGTATATTTATTAATAAACACTGATAAATATGTACTGACATCTTCTGTGTGATTTAGCTGAAGATTGAAGACATCAGAACTAAACGGGAAGCTGAAGCAGAGGCCATACTGAGGATCAGGGGCGGAGCGTGGGGGTGGCTTACGGGGCTTAATCCCGGGTTGTTTTGTCAGAAGCCCGGGGTATTTTGGAGTGTAATTTTTTCATAGTTAGATGTCTGGCTGACAACTGTATAAAACAAAAAGTACACACAATATTCGAAGCACATAGTGCACACCAGAGGTGTGGACTCGAGTCACATGACTTGGACTCGAGTCAGACTCGAGTCATTAATTTTATGACTTTAGACTTGACTTGAAAAAAGGTTGTAAGACTTGTGACTTGACTTGGACTTTTACACCAGTGACTTGGGACTTGAATTGGACTTGAACCTGTTTACTTGAAAAGACTTGATATTTTACCCAAATCTAAAATTTAACATACATATTATATAAAAAGTGTGGACCATTAATTCACTTTATTCATTCATTCATTCTTACCACACTCCGTATGTATGTGAGCGTGAGCTGTAGCACAGCCAATCAAATTAACCAGATTTTAAAAAAAACAAAAAAAAAAACGCTCGAGCCAAAAATGCTCCCAAGAGTAATTTCTTTCGGCTACATAAACTACGAAGTAGTCAACAAAAAACGAAATGCAACATGCAAAACATGCAAGAAGAGAATTACAGACGGAGATGGAACAACTTCCAACTTTGTCCGACATTTGAAGTTGCATAAAGAACGGTAAGTGCTGCCTTTTTTTGCTACGATGAGATAGCGACTTAGCTAACTTCATCTTATTAGCAAATGTTCTCCGGGCTACGTTGATGATACTGTTTGGCTTTAACAGGTATGATATGTTTGTCATGCTATTTTAAATCCGGTCCTACAAGCGCATCCAAGAATAATACGCAACTTGTTAGCTCAGAATTGTCGGTGAATGGTGAGCAGGGTCCGTTTCAGAAAGTGGGTTCTGTAGCTGTACTCAGGGAAGACAGTTTCTCTCCGTCTCCTCCTCATCATTAACCCCGTAGAGCTACATGTTTATTTTTGTAAGAAAACCAATTACACCCTTATTTTTTGTTTATTATTGTGACTTATTTTGACATTGTTATGTGTTGCCAGACCATGGTTATATTTCATTATGCCAGTAGATACTGCTCTTGCATTGCTGTGGAACTACCAGATAGACTCTAGCAATAGGCTCTGTGCACGCGCAGCTCAGAAATAAATGAGCTCCGTCCTGAGCAAGACGCTAACTTCGGTGTCCTCTCTATTAATCCACAGTTTGCTCATATTTGGCTACGCAGTGCTCTCTAGCCTGTGTGCTGCTTGCTGCCGGTCCAGATTCCCCTAGGTCTGGTGCCGGTAACATATGGTCGTGTTTAACTTTTGCATGTCTGAGCCAGGGAAAAAAAATTTTGGTTAGAAAATCTGGCCCACCTTAGTGTGTAATTGAGTAGTCCTGCTATATAAGGCCTTTTTCTTCTGTCATTTATGTCAATACATCAAATAAAATACTTTGATCTTATGTTATTAGCTGTTGTTTATTTGCAAAGGTCAGTTATTCTTAACAGGGATGCTAAACATTGCTTATTGGAACTGTATGCAGAGTTTTGAGAAAAGTGTTTTAATAAATATTGTTTATATATTTTTCATTTATATTTTTTATTGTCTGAAAACTATGAGAGTTTAAGTGTTAATAGTTATTTAGGATTATTAGGATCAACTTAAAGTAAAATGCAATTCATGAATGGCTGAAATGGAATTTCTGACATGAGTCTAATATGCTTACCTCTATCAGATTTGAAGAATACCAGATGAAAAAGAGGATCACAAATGAACCTCAACAGCCTTCCATATCACAGTTTATGGACACTTGTGCCGGACAGTACAGCATGACTCATCCACAGCAGAAAGCTATCACGAATGCATTATCAAGTGACTTGATTATTGGTTGCAACCTGCCCCTTTCTATTGTGGAAAACAAGAATTTTCGGCACTTTCTGACGGTAGTTGACAGAAAATACAGCCCGGTATGTCGCAGAACATCAAAAACAGAGAACCTTGCTGCTGAGAAACGTTCAATGTTAAAAACTCAGTTGAGCGACACTGATCATGTTTCAGTTACTGTGGACATTTGGTTGGACCAAAAAGATGAGGGGTTTCCTTGGCATCACTGTGCACTGGATAAAGAAAGAGACAGAGAGAATACAGTTGAAATCCAAACTGCTGGCCTTTGACCGCTCCAAAGGATTACACACTGGTGACAGAATCTGTGAGAAATTTTAAGCTATATGTGACGAATACAACATTAAAGATAAACTAGACTATATTATTAGTGACAATGCTGCCAATATGCGGAAAGCATTCACTGTGTGCTTCCCCACTGAGCAAGCTGAGGAACATGATGATGGTGATCATCTTGACGACCCAGAGCTCTGGCATGACTTAACCTTGGAAGATCAGGAAACAGTAGGTGCTGCTATGGCAAAGACACAGCGCCTGCAGTGTTTTGCGCACACACTTCAGCTGGTGGTGAAAGATGGTTCGTCAGAGACCAAAGTGGCATCTCCTTCACTTTCAAAGTTATCTAAGCTCAGCTCTCTACTGCACACAAGCACAACATTCAAAGATGTGTTTGAAGCTGAATTTGGTGAACAGAAAGCGATCCCTGCTGCTGTAATCACAAGATGGAATTCAACACTGAGACAAGTGAAGGCAGTTATCCAATGTGAACATCTAAAACTCTGTGCTGTTCTTGAAATGACTGGGCACAAGGAGTTATTATTCACAACACGAGAGTGGAACCTGTTGAAGGAGATGGTGGACATCTTGAAGCCTTTTGGAGAAGCAACAGATTTGACACAAGGTGAGAAAATAGTCACGATTAGTGCTGTTGTTCCATCCGTGCTGTCCCTCAATCACCACCTTGAGAAACTGAAGCCTCAAGTCTGTTTCCTGAATGGTCTGGTCAGGAGCCTCCAAGCATCTTTGAACAAAAGATTTCTTGGAATCTTTATCAGTGTGCGAATGTCTAGAGCAGAAGATGGGATTACTGCCCCCTTTTCAGATCCAGTGTACCTTAAAGCAGCTGCTTTGGATCCAGCATTTTCTCTGTTGTGGGTGGAACACCATGTGTTGGGCAGTTGTGACATAAAGACAGAGGTGACACAAAAAGTTAAAGGTAAAGATTGAATATAGTTTATATTTTTTCTGTATTTTTTTTTTCTCTAAAATTGTAATAAAGGCTCTTTTGCTGTTGTTAATTTGTTTTGCCAGATCTGATCCTGCAAGATGCGGCAGATCCTGCAAAGTCAGAGCAACTTGTGACTCCTGGTGAGGAACATCAAGAGGACTGTGAAGATGGAGGACTCTTTGCTGCTTACTGTAAGAGGCAGAAGAAGGATGTGGGGAAGAGTCCAGCTCTACAGCTAAGTCACTACCTGGATATTGCTGATGGACAGAACGCCCTCTTGTTCTGGGCAATGAACATGCAGACTCTTCCTTCTCTGTTTCATGTGGCCACCAGAGTTTTGGCAGTACCTGCATGTAGTGCTCCTGTGGAGCGAGTTTCAGCTATGGTGGCATCATTCTACGGCCTCATCGTGCACAAATGACTGACAGACTTTTGGCCAATTTGGTCTTTTGCAAATGCAATGCAGAATAGTTAATAGTGAACTGAAATAAGTTAAAGTGCACATTCTTGTTCATTGTATACATATATATATATATATATATATATATATATATATATATATATATAAACACCCAGCACGCCCCTGCGGGCGGTTTATCCTTCAAGCTCGGGTCCTCTACCAGAGGCCTGGGAGCTTGAGGGTCCTGCGCAGTATCTTAGCTGTTCCCAGGACTGCGCTCTTCTGGACAGAGATCTCCGATGTTATTCCCGGGATCTGCTGGAGCCACTCGCCTAGCTTGGGAGTCACCGCACCTAGTGCTCCGATTACCACGGGGACCACCGAATAGATATATAGATATCTAGATATATAGATATCTATATATATCTAGATATATAGATATCTATATATATCTAGATATATAGATATCTAGATATATAGATATATCTATATAGATATATAGATATATCTATATAGATATATCTATATAGATATATAGATATCATTTCATTCATTCATTGTTTTGTACATACGGAAATCTCAGCACTTTTTGTTTCAACAGGAAGTTCTGCTTTTGCATTTTTTCACTGAATGTTTATTCTGTGAATTTGTAATTTAGAGGAAGACTATTCTTGCAGCAAAGTTTAATTGAGCTGTGCAAGGTGCAATTTCAGAATTAGTTTGTGCATATTTTGTAAGTTACTTGTTTCATCAGGTGATGAGATCAATACAGATTTAAAAAAAGAACACATGGTCTATTATTTACACCTAACATATAACTGCAACATTATTTTTTCGTTTTTTTTTTTTAAAGACTCGAAAGGACTTGAAATTCAAAGTTTCAGACTTGTGACTTGACTCGGACTTTTACACCAGTGACTTGAGACTCGACTCTGACTTGCCTGACATTACTTGAGACTTGACTTGAGACTTGAGGATAAAGACTTGAGACTTACTTGAGACTTGCAAGACAATGACTTGGTCCCACCTCTGGTGCACACTGTGGGAATTTACGACTGTGCGTGAATCCCCCCCTGATATTGGTATGATCCAAGCTCAGGCACTAAGCGACTGAGCGAGGGGCGGGGCAGCTGCTGCCCGTGAGTGCGCTGTTGGAGAGACGGAGCCAGCCATACTAAGGAGAGCTTAAGTTTGACCAGGTACCAAAGCAAATCATTCGTACCGTACAAATAATGTAAATATGACGGTGCATCACGAAAGATTGATATGAAACTGATCACTTGACCAATATTACGTTACTTGCTCTTCAAGTGAATCAACAAATGGCAAAATGAAAAGCCGAACAAATGCTATTTTTTTTAGAGTCTTAGCTTACGTGTGTTTATTTCATATTTTCAGTTCTTACCCTCCCCGACTAAATCGGTTTCAGTTATGTACTGAAACATAAGAATGGACATTAGAGGGTTCTTTCAAAGAAAAAACTCAGGTAAATGTTATTTTATATATTATGCTTTGTATGTTGTTCAGTATATTTCTATGCAAAACAAGAGGGATTTCAGTACACAGCAGGATATTCACATTTGTAACCAGATATTTACATACACTTTAGGGAGAAAACATAAAACATTTTTACTGTACAACATCAATTTAGAGTAAATTTTTGTTTTAGATAAATATTGAAATATATTTTGAATTAGTTAAATTTCAGAATAAAGAGAGACAGAGCTATTTTTATCACTTTCATCAAATTTAGGAGTACATGTACACTAAATTTATTGTTAATTAATAAGAAAACTCCAGACGATTCCATTCTGAGCTGAAGAAGCTTCTGATAGGTTAGTAGAGTCCATGTGAGTAAATTGCTGGCACAGCTGTGGATGCATATAAGGCAAAACACAGAGCCTGTTTCTTTGACATGGGAAAATCAAGAGATATCAACCAAAACACCAGGAACAGAACTGTGGAGCTCCATAAGTGTGGCTCAAGTTTGAATACAATTTGGTGCCATTTGCAATTAAGAAATACAGACAGTTTCTCTCTTTACTCTTAAAGTTAACAAATATGTTTTTATATTTATCAATCTAAAACAATAAACATTTAGTCTGATTTGATGTTACAATTAAAAAAGTGTTTTTATCTGAAGAGTAAATATCTGGTTTCAACTGTATATTTGATGATTGTCAGCACAAAGAGGGAGAGAGAGGAGAACGAGGACAGAACAGATGAACAAGAGCAGGTGAGACACACATGTTAGTCAAATGGTTGTTTACCAAAAGTATCACCGTATCATAGGTCCTCATGTATCTCGTACCTAGTGTTTCTTTTTAGGTTTGTTATTTTTCAAATTCTGTATTTATTAAGTTCTGCAGGCTTGTTTGCACAACAAGGCTGAATAATTATATAAACTTTTCTCAATCTAAATAGTGTACTTTGGTAGAATTAAAAAAATAAGTGTAGTGCAGGTCTATGAAGATTTTTAGTGCTATCATCTAGTTCTGATTCTGGTTCTGTCTTGGTTAAGTCCTCAGTAGTCCTGATTTTGAACTGTTGTAGTCCTGTTTTTAATTCTGGATCAGTTCTGGGTCTGGTTGAATTGGGGTTTAGTCCTCGTGTCTTGATGCAGCCCTGACCTTGTTCTGCCTTGCTGCTTAATTAAAAAACTAGTTTAAGGTGTCCTGCACATGTGATATATATTTTTCCCTATATGAAGTCATTCTTTTTTGAACAGAGCCTATTAATCTTTCAGTCATTTCTACACCCCCCCCCCCCCAAAAAAAAAAAAAAAAAAAAAATCCCACATGCATACTACTCTTTGGGCTAAGCCCCGGGTGTTTCAAATGTCTGGCTCCGCCTCTGCTGAGGATGCAGTTTCAGATGGAGCTGATCGTTTACACTCAGGACACAACATACAGCCAGATGTTAGCAAAGAGGAAGAGGGAAGACAAAGAGGAGGCTGTAAATTCCCTGGTGAACAATAATAGCAGTGGGGCCACCCTGAAAGAGATGCTGAAACACCTTAAATCCTATTACCAAGTAAATGTTACTGAAACTCTGTTTTTTATGTTTGCATTTAAAAACATGATATAGTACATAAACTCTTGCCATGTCAAAAGATACATCCCACTGAAGTTTTCAATATAAGAGAAAAAGTAGACTCTTTGAAACAGTGACTACAGATAAGCAACAACAAAAAGAAAAGAAGAAAACTAAAACTAAAGCTGAAATTTAGAATGTATACAGTTAAATGAAATGAACACCTGTTATATTTATGACACAGTCACATAAAGCAACAAACAGGAAATTTGGGTTAGAGCCTGAATTTGCTCACTGCCCCAACAAACTCAGCTTGATGGGACAAAAATGGGCCACAAAGTAGAAACAAATCCAGTTTATCTGCCCATAGACATCAGTACAGAAGCAAATCTTTTACTTAGAGATGTTTGGCCTCAGTAACAGTAACAATGTTAGTTTGTTTTTGCCTAATAATTTATTAATACAGAATAAATGTTTTAATGTCTTCTCAAAGCCAGGTCCAAATTCAGGTCTGACAGTATTAGAGACACCAACTATATTTTTGTGATGGCGGCACATGAAGGATTTAGCTTTTTAGCGCATCCCTATTATCTGCTGGGAGGGTGGTTTTAGTCTTTGTTTTATTTTGTTTTAAGAATATTACTCAACTTTATTAAGTCTTAGTCTGGTATGACTTTTTTTCTGTTTTTCTTTAGATGTGAACACAATGTAACCAACTAAGTTGGTTACAAAATATCGAGATGTTCTATGATTTTGTTCACAGCTAATAATTTAATACAAAATAACAACCATGTTCAAATTCTGACATATTACAGACAGTAACAAACAAAAGCTTTTTACGTCCTTATTTCTGTCTTCTCCGCTCACAGATTGCTGGTCAGCGTCTTGCTGACCAGATCCCCCTGGTGATCCGCTATCAGATGCTGCAGCAGTTTGCCAACCAGCTGCAGAGGGAGATGCTGCAGATGCTTCAGGATAAGGAGAGAAAAGAGTCCCTGCTTCAAGAGGACATTGGCACAAAAATTCAAAGGGAACAACTTCAGAACGGCCTTAAACGCCTCTCAAACGGCCGCCTTTTGTTGACTGAGTTTAGTATGAACACATTCAACTTCAGCTCAGCACAAGGGCAAAGCTTAAAACCAGATTTCTAACCTGACAAACAAAATGATGGACGTCACTTCATAGAATCATAGAAATATTTCCCCAGCATTCGCTTTGCAATACATTTTGAGTGCCTTTATTATAGATTGTAATTGTTTTAGTGTGTGTGTAGATATATATAATATATATATATATAATATATATAATATATATATATATATAATATAACATCTTAAAGGGTCATACGCATGTATGTTGCTGTTGCAGAAGTATATTTTTTGTTTATTAAAAATGTTTTGAGTGTTAGAAATAAAAATCACTGGTAATGGTATGCACTCCATGTGCTATTTTGTTATATTGTGTGTTACAGTTTGTGTATACATTAACGGGGGAAATGAATAACTAAAATAAAGTGAGACATATACTAAAAGGCTGAATTTTTTGAAAGTGACATTTTTTTCTGCAAAAATATGATCAGAATGTATTAAAAGAACATTTCTCAACAACGGATTCATCTTCAAACTGGTACAGCCCCAAAATAAATGAGATTAGTTATACCACTGTACAAAATATGGAAACAGATACCAATTCACAATGACAGGCTTGGTATTATTTGCCCTCCACCCTCTAATCTTTGTGCCATCCTTAAAGTTTTTTGGTCATATAAATGAAACTGTTGCCAGAAATTATGGGGAGGATAAAGTTGTTCTGAGCCCCCTTTTTAAAACTATTTTTCTACTCATTAAAACATCAACATGAACTACATAATGTTAATAAAATATGCAGCGAAAGCTAGATAGAAAACAATACCTTAAATCCTGACAAGTGGACTGACCCTCAAATGCCTCAGAGTGGTATATTCCACTGCCTACAGTTCTCTTAATCCTTTACTTTGCAAAGGTGAACTGAAAACCAAGCATGTGTTGGACATTATCCTTAACTTCTACTCAAAAAGAACAAATTGTGTTTACAGCTGTAATCAGTCTGCAGTCTTTGTTACTTTCAATACCTTGAAAACTGAATCTTGTCCTTCAATGCAGTTGCCATACAAAAAACAAGAGACCAACATTTCCTAACGCATGTTTATGTTCATGGTTCCAGGATTTCACACCTGCAGGTCACCCGGCATGTGACCACTAGGTCTCCAGAAAGTCTTCTGCCTTTTTGTTTTCTGCAGCGTAAACTGTTGGCTAACGTTCATCATCACTCAGTTTGACACGCCTTATTAAATGCGTGCTCCGTCACTGAAACGACAGTATGGGCCAGTCTCTCTCTCATCATTTTTACACAGGCACCTGTAACGTACACGAAACTGAGGGAAAACGAAACTTACAGCCAGGCTGACGATTCGAAACTTCTCCGGTTCAGTCCGTCTTCTTCCGACACAACACTTTAATTTTAGCTGCATTCATTTGTTCTTTCGAAGAGAAAAGCAATCACCATCATGAGCACTCTGAACCAGCAGTATGAGGAGAAAGTCCGACCCTGCATCGACCTCATTGACTCTCTCCGCTCTCTCGGTGTAGAGAAGGACCTGGCGCTGCCTGCTATCGCCGTGATTGGAGACCAAAGCTCGGGGAAGAGCTCTGTGTTGGAGGCGCTGTCCGGGGTGGCACTGCCGAGAGGCAGCGGTGAGTAAGAAAGAAGCAAATAAGGAATAATTATAAAGGTTCAAATGAAGAAATAAAGAATAATAAGGGATTCTGACGCAGCATTCACAGATTTTTTTTAACCACGTCAAAAGACACACCGAGCTGATACATCATACTCCAGTGTAGACTGGGAATAATCAGGGAAATGAATAATCCTGGCTTTTAAAACGTTCACTCTGTTGTGCCTTCACTCAAGGTTCCAATATAGTTGAAACAAACTAGGTTTTGCAATACCATCATGCAATGTGTTAGAGGTGGAAATAAAGAGCCACACTACAGCAATGGCCTCATTTACATTTGGAAACATTTATAATTGCTTCTCTTCCCTATTCATACTGTTACCAAATATTAAGATGTGCTGTTGACAGAGTATCAAATAACTCTTGTGCTGTCTGACACAGACTACTGTTTTTCATAATTTCATCAGATTATCTTTAATTTTTTCCCTTTTTTCTTATTCACATTTCATTAATCTAGGCATTGTAACAAGATGCCCTCTTGAACTCAAGATGAAGAGAAAGAAAGAAGGAGAAGAATGGACTGGAAGGATAAGTTACCAGGGCCACGAGGAGGAAATAGAAGATCCTACAACTGTGGATAAAAAGATTGAAGAAGGTACAATATACAAACACATAATTACTAAATCTGGTTGACTGAGCTACCGGATCTTTAAGGTTTCACTGATCAGTCCTGCAATCATTAGTTGTATCATGTTATGTTTGTCTGTTTGTACCTTCAGCTCAAAATGAAATGGCTGGGGTCGGAGTGGGGATCAGCGATGAGCTCATCAGTCTGGAGATCGCTTCCCCTGAGGTCCCGGACCTGACCCTCATCGACCTGCCCGGCATTGCCAGGGTGGCTGTAAAAGGACAGCCAGAGAACATCGGCGATCAGGTATCATAGTTGAGGGTCCCCCTGAAAAACTTCATAGGGACTTCTTTGGTTTTCATAGCACCTTGGGCAAATAACAGGTAAATAAGGCAGATGTGGTTTGCTCCATAAGTCTCTGGACGGTGACATTTTTGTAGTTTTGTCTCTGCACACTAACTACAATGCATAGTAAGTCAAGCATTCAAGTGCAGACTTCATTCAGTTTTAATTCAAGGAGTAAATAAAAGTATTGTTTAATAATTACAATCCCTCATTTTCAACAGTTCAAAAATAACTGGACAAACTAACGTCATTTTAAATATAAGGATTATTTTAATGCAAAGGTGAAAATCTTTTGCAGTCAACGACTGCTTGAATTCTAAAAGTTTGTGTGATTTTAGGTTTAGATGGGTGTTTTCACTTTAAGAATAGGAAGTACCGTAGAAAGAACTACATGCATGGTGTGAATTTATACTTTCAGATAAAAAGACTGATCCAGAAGTTTATCACAAAACAAGAAACCATCAGCTTGGTGGTTGTTCCGTGTAATGTGGACATTGCAACCACAGAGGCTTTGAAAATGGCGCAGCAGGTGGATCCTGAAGGAGAGAGGACTTTGGGTAAAAGGACCCCTTATAGTGTTTCATAAAGCTATAAAACTTCATTCCACAATCATACTGGCTTCTTTTTTGAACATATTTGCAAATTCCAACTCAGTCTTTTAGATGTGACAGGTCTAAGTTCACTTTAAAGTTGTCTTCTCTCTCTCTTTATCTCCCTCTCTCACTCAGGTATCTTGACTAAGCCTGACCTGGTGGACAAAGGCACAGAAGAGAACGTGCTTGAAATTGTCCATAATGAAGTCATCCACCTGAATAAGGGCTACATGATTGTCAGGTGCAGGGGTCAGAAGGAGATCACAGAGAAAGTGTCTCTGACTGAAGCCCTAGAAAAAGAGGAGATGTTCTTCAAAGATCATCCCTATTTCCAGTAAGTTTTTTTGTTTTGTTTTGTTCTTTTTTTGTTGTAGGTTTGTTTGGGTGCGAATCATCTAGTAAAGTACTGAGAACCTGTTTTATTCTTGCTCCAGCACTCTTTACAGTGAAGGCCACGCCACTGTTCCTAAACTAGCTGAAAAACTCACCCTTGAGCTGGTGAATCACATTGAGGTGATTTTTTTTCTGATTTTGCGTTCTTATAACAAACGTCCTGTACAACCAAGTGATTAGCTGTAAGGTGTGTGACCCTGCCGTTTGATTTACAGAGATCTCTGCCAAGACTGGAAGAGCAGATAGAGGATAAACTTGCTCAGACTCAGGCAGAGCTGGACAGATATGGTAATGGACCTCCTTCTGATATGGCTGAGAGACTCATCTTCCTCATCGATGTGAGCTTCCTTACCACCCATAACATTTATGTGACTACGTTCATTTCCTTGCATTTCTGCTTAACAAACATCAAATACCTCTAACACGTGTGTGCTGCAGAAAGTGACCGCATTCACTCACGATGCCATCAACCTGACTTCAGGAGAGGAGCTCAACTGTGGAGAGAGCTTGAATGTTTTTTCTACTCTCAGGCGAGAGTTTGGGAAGTGGAATGCCCACCTGGACCGCTCTGGACAAAACTGTGAGTCTTTTTATTTTTACTGAGCTGGTGTATAGCAGTCCATTTTCACATCTCTGATGTATACCATTCGTGTTGCAGTTAACAGGAAAATTGAAAAAGAGGTGGAGGTATATGAAGACAAGTACCGTGGAAGAGAACTACCAGGCTTTATCAACTACAAGACCTTTGAGGTCATGGTGAAGGAGCAGATCAAACAGCTGGAAGAACCAGCTGTCAAGAAACTCAAGGACATAGCAGGTGATGTTACAGTCTAGGCAGTACATATTGGATAATTACTCACTTTTTGTCCTAGTTTTGTGATTTTCTGAGTAGATGCTACATTGAATACCCATCCAGTGAGTTTTGATGCATTTGGCTAAATTTGAGCACACAGAATGCTTTTACATACCTCTGAATTTAGCCTGCTGCTTCAGACAGATATGAGATGGTCATTAAAGAGCAGCGTGTCAAATTCACAGTATACAGGTTCAGGCAAAAGTAGAGGCACTGCTGTGTTTTAACGGATTAGGTGGTGAACTTGAGACATTTCTATATAGAATGACTTTTGTTTCATAGCTTAATAAAACTTTGTTCCATAGATCTAATGGCTTATTTCCACGTGTTTTTACAAAATGTAGATGTTTGCCAGATTTGGAATAAGCGGTCGTGTATGCCTTCAATCTGAAAAGTGATCTCCACGGTTATAAAAACATTTTTCTTCACTGTTCAATGTTTTTAGTGCTGTCTATGTTTAACACTTACACTTACTACATTTTCTTGGTTTTGGCAAAGCAACTGACTTTGATATCTTGCACTTTTGCTTGTTGGACCTCTTTTTCTTTTTAATAATCCTCTCTCTAAAACTGAGGTTTGGCTGAAACTATTGAAGTAGCCTGGATTACACAATAGATTTACCCAGAAATATGCTGCACCCATGATGCGATCACTTCAAGTTCTGTGGTTTTATTGTTTATATCTGTTTTCTCTAGATGCTATTAAAAGGGTGTTCCTACA